ACATCTATGGTGCCAGAAAGCATGGACGTCTTCAAAAAAGGATGATGGGGGCACGTTGAAAGGACTCAGGTGCTAACTCGAAGGAGCTGCCAGCAGTTAAATATGGGACAATTTGAGGAGCAAAGTAAATAATGATAGTAATGGATTACAATCCATAGAACAAAATAAATAGCTGTGAATCATATTTAATTTAAATAATTGAAAAAATAAACAAAGGGGAATTGCTTACATGGAATTCTATTAATATAGGAGTAATGATGGAAATAGGAAATAACTGTTGGGAAAAATACTAACTCTTCAGTGGAGAAACCTGGACAGATACCACATTAAACAAGTGTTCAAAGTTAATATGAGATGGAGCCACAGCATGTTACCTCCTGATAAATAATGCACCAGAAAGGGTACAACATCACTTCTGTAGTGATTTTTCCCTGTTGTTTTGAATTATATTTTTTAGTTTGAAAAAATTAAGATTCAGATGTAGTTTTACAAATAATACAGAGATTCATGTATCCTTTACCTACTTTCCCCTAGTGACAACTGTAGTTGCAAAACAGTAGTTCATTGTCATAACCAAGATACCGATAGTGATGTAGTCAAATTACAGAGCATTTCCATCACGACAAGGATTCCTGGTATTGCTCTTGCATAGCTTCACTGCTTTTTAAAATTGGGCTGCTTACGGGGCGCCTGGGTGGCGCAGTCGGTTAAGCGTCCGACTTCAGCCAGGTCACGATCTCGCGGTCCGTGTTCGAGCCCCGCGTCGGGCTCTGGGCTGATGGCTCGGAGCCTGGCGCCTGTTTCCGATTCTGTGTCTCCCTCTCTCTCTGCCCCTCCCCTGTTCATGCTCTGTCTCTCTCTGTCCCAAAAATAAATGTTGAAAAAAAAAAATTAAAAAAAAAATAAAATTGGGCTGCTTGTTTTTTGTTACTGAGTTGTAAGAATTCTTTACATATTCTGGATCATATGGAGTTTCCCCTCCATATAATGAATTATACTAATTTTTTTAGTATTAAAAATTATGTTAAAATATACATAAAATATACCATCATAACTGTTTTAAAGTGTTCAGGTCCGTGGTATCACCTACATTCATATTGTACAACCATCACCACTATCCATCTCCAGAACTCTTTTCATCCTGCAAAACTGAAACTCTATACCCATTAAACAGCTTCCTGTTTCTTTTATCTACTGGCCCGTGACAATCACTACTCTATTTTCTGCCTATATGAATTTGATTAAATTAGGTGGCTTATATAAGTGATACCATACAGTATTTGTCTTTTTGTGACTGGCTTATTTCACTTAGCGTAATAGCTTCAAGGTTCATGCATGTTGTACCCTGGATTTCCTTACTCTCTAAGGCTGGATAGTTTTCCGTTGTATGTATATCCCACATCTTGTTTTTCCGTTCATTGATCTGTCAATAGACAGTTGGGTTGCTTTCTCCTTTTGGCTACTGTGAATAATGCTGCTATGAACATGGTTATGCAACTGCTGTCTCTTTGAGACCTTGCTTTCATTTGAGTATATGCACAGAAGTAGGATTGCTGGATTATATTATATCTAGATTTTTCTTTTATTCTCCCTCTACTTTCTACTTCAAGCCCTGTCTATCTCTGAGTATCTTTTCCTTTTAGAGATTTAAGTTTTAAAAGTTCTCATCTACTTCTTTCTTTTTTTGTTTTTAAAAGTTTATTTATTTTTGAGAGAGAGGGAGAGATAGAGTGTGAGCAGGGGAGGGGCAGAGAGAGAGAGGGAGACACAGACTCTGAAGCAGGTTCCAGGCTCTGAGCTGTCAGCACAGAGCCTGATGTGGGGACCGAACTTACGAGCCATGAGATCATGACCTGAGCTAAAGTTGGACATTTAACCAACTGAGCCATCAAGGTGCCACTACTTATTTCTTTAAATAACATACTAAACTCTTAATTAAAAGGACTGTTCAGAGAATAAAGTATAGTGGTTGTGGAATTTTGGCCAGGACCCCCCCACCTTTGTCCATGGTATTGTAGTGTGTTAGTTCATTTTATTCCCTTAGTAAGTACAGTATAGCAGACATAATTGAGTTTCTCTGATAATTCAGGATCTTTTGATGCTTTGGGGCTATCATTACAAACATAGATTCACAGTATAGTAAGCCACAGGGCAGAAGTTACCGGGGAATGGTGCAAAGTACAAACCCCTCTGGACTCTTTACAAAACTAAATCCTTGATTTCTCCTGTTAATTATGTATTTATAAGAAAATTAAACAATATAGTTTTATATAATTGATGTTTGAAAGATGTTTACTAAACTTAGTTTCTCATCTGGCTGCCTCTGCTATTTTTCTTCTCTGCCTTCCTCTTTGCATCTGTGTCCCCATATCATCAGATAAATGGGCTGTCACCTAACTCAGAGTAAGCATATTTAACAAGTACAACTTATAGAAGCAAATGAAGTGTAGAATACAGTATTCTGCATACTTTGTCTCCCAGCTGCATTTCCCTTTCTTTTACTACACTTCAAGGAAGAAAAAACAGAGTTTTCGAGAAGACAGGGTTAGAGAAAGGAAGAGGTGGAAGAACTGAGATGAAGAGAAAGAACAAAGACATTATGAAGAAGCAGAAAGGAGGAGAAGAGAAAGGAGGGTGGGTCGAGGGCAAGTGAGAGTAGGACAGGGTGGTTACAAAAGTTCCACAGTCAGTCTTCATGGAGTTCCTCCTTCTTTGAACTAAATAAAGCCCTGATCCCTGTGAGTCTGAGAAAGAATTTTCAGGAACTTCTACAGTTGTGACAAGTGGATAACTAAACCAGAGGTCACTTGGGCCAGAAACTTAATCAGCATTTTGCAAAAGGCATTTCTTGAGTGCCTGTCATCCATAGCCTCCTGAACTCAGTAACCACCAGTCCACTAGCTAAGAATAGAAAAGACCAATGTCCATTCCAGATGATTTATTCACCACTGTGAATATAAGGGACTGGAAGATTGGAGGGGAGGTTCGAAGTTCTGCCTTCTTTGCCCCTTCAGCTGATAATGCCAGTGGTGCTTGGATGCAGAGGTCCTACTATACCAAACTCTAGTGATTTGAACTTTTCTTGAAAGAAATAATACTGTACTTCCTTACAGATAACAGAGAAATAAAGATACTGGCATATTTGAAACCTACTCCCCCAGGCAGGTGTGACGGATTCTTCTCACCTCTGTTTTTATCAGACCATTTAGGGTTTACATGATACATGTCCATGCTTTGAAGCAGACCTAGGAACCCAAAGGACTAACAGTTTTAAATGTACCTTTTCCATGTGTTACTCCAGAATGAAACTGAATATATTTTTGAGTAATTTAGTTACAATAAAATTATAGCATCTAAGCCTACACTTTTGTACAAGAGTCAGGAACCAGAAATAAAAAAATATAGGCAAGCTGATTGATCTTAATAGATTGCTGATGTTGTACTATTTATGGCCTAGTTTGCTTTTCTGATCTTAAATTGCTTTTCTTCCATGGCCTAAATAAATTGTTAAAAAATCTAAGGTAATTTTCCATACAAATGTGATTTCTGTCCTAGAATTTCCAGTCTGACCGAGAAATAAACAGGAGCCAGGTGCATGCACAATGAGTGAATTGCTTGCAAAGAGATGCTCATGACAGGATCATAAATCAGTAGTTCTCATCCGGGGCGATTCTGACCCTTAGGGGTCTATGATAATGTCTGGGAACAGTTTTGTCATACCTGTGGAGGAGGTGCTCCTGGCTTCTAGTGGGTAGAGGCCATGGATGCTGCTAAACATCGTACGGTGCATAGGACAGCCCCCTATAACAAAGGATCATCTGGTCCAAAATGGCAATAGTGCCATTAGGTTAAAAAGCCCTGTCATAATTATGTGCTGAAGATACAGTATGGACTGGTTGATACTCAACTACATTAGGAGAAACCCAAGATGGTGCCTACAGTTGTGGCCACTGTTTGAGTTTTTCAGGATTTTTTTTTTTTACTTCCAGATTTCTATATTGAAATCATTTTAGATTTACAGACTGGATGATTTCCATCTCTATCTCTGTTTCCTTAGCACTTGGTACACAGGATCCTGGCTTTGCAAATGTTGAGTGAAGTGAAAGAACAAAGAAAGACACACATTAGGACAAGATCTGTTTAGGTTGCACTTCTAGGTGTGCTGTGTGAAGCCCTGCTCAGAGCAGAGGGGAAGGTGTGGAGATAAGCTTCTTGGTTTCCTAGAAACACTTGGTAGGTTACCCCCTACACCACCTGTGCCTTTGTTTCTGCTTGGCCTGGGCTGCTTAGTACCAGGGGAGCTGGTGTCAGGGAGAACATCTCCTAATTAGGCCATTGATGCACTTGGGCCTTGAAGGAGATCATTTCCCACCTTATACCTTACCCCAGCCCTTGCCAGTGGCTGGGACAGTCCTGTAGGCCATTACCTGTTAAATACGCATGTGTATATGTATTCCGATTATAACAGAAACCTAAAATGTGAAAGTCTTCTGTAATCCTGATAATAAATTGGTATATATTTCTCCAGTTTTTAAATGTATGTATTAGCATATATATTAGCATATAACTATTAAAAATAAAATGGAATTATAATTTTATAGTATGCTATTTTACAATGTGTTTTTACCATACTTACATACTTACAATACATATATTGTGGGCTTTCTTTATTCTAGTGTAAGGGATAAATCATTTAAGACTGTTGTTAAAATAAGAATTTTAGTATATACCCACTTCAGAAGTACTAGAAAGACATCAATATAAATTAAAATTTGTAGTGTGTGAGTTTTCTTAGATGGAAATACCATGATGTTATTATGTATCATGCTGTATTTTTCATTGATTATAACAATGTAGAATGATTCTATTACTGGTTTCTTTTGATGGTGACATATTTTTAAAAACATTCTGAATCCTCAGAAGGAAACCATTATAGCTGTGTTAATGTACTTTGTGTAATACTCTTAGATTTCAACCACTTTTTTTTGTGTTCCTCACAGGCAAGTATGTGTATCAGCCTATGACCCCTGTGGAGCAGCTTCCAAGCACTGAGATTCCTGCAAAGCCTCGGGAACCCACGAACACCATTCAGATCTCAGTCTCACTCACTGAACACTTTTTGAAATTTGCATCTGTCTTCCAACCACCCCTCCCCCCTGATTCACCAAGGTACTGTATGATCTCAGACCTCTTTATCGACAACTATCAGGTTAAATGTATTAATGGGAAGATGTGTTACGTGCAGAAGCAGCCGGCGCCACATTCCCACAAAATGAGCCCTGAGGAGGTCTCTGCACATGATGCCTTAATTTCAAGAGAGAGCAGTACACCAAAAATAGATCACTGCTCTTCTCCCTCAAGTTCTGAGGACTCCGGGATCAATGCCATTGGGGCTCACTATGTGGAATCATGTGATGAGGACACAGAAGAAGGAGCAGAACTGAGTTCAGAGGAAGATTACAGTCCGGAGAGCAGCTGGGAACCGGATGAGTGCACCCTTCTCTCCCCTTCACAGTCAGATCTGGAAGTGATTGAAACAATAGAAACCACCGTGTGAAAGTCCAAGCAGGAAGCCATGGCCTCTGATCCATGCTGAGCTTTTGTACTTTGGTTTGATGGATCCTTTTTCCACTGCAGTTGGTATTTTCTACCCCTCTCTGACAACCATAGTGGTTCAGTGGTCTGCTGATTAGCTTCACTCTTAAATTAGTCTTAGAACTAAGACCTTCTTTTTCTTATAAATGGTTTTCTTTTGTATCTTGACTTATTTTCTATGTAGCATCTGGTGTCATGAATTGTGACCCAGCCTTAATTTCATTGGGAACTCTGAAAGCAGTGAAGTGATGATTATCATGGATCAGGTTGAGGAGCTACCCACAGCGAAGGAGACAGTATTTTCTACATAGCCAGTTCTTGACACACACACACACACACACACACACACACACACACACACACACCCCTCTTGGCATTCCTTTTGGTGTGCCCACGGGCACCCCTACCCTGCTAGTCTCCTATGGGAATCAGCTCAGGAGCGGGGAACAGAGTTTGCACTGTAGATGCCATTCTGTCTCTTTTCTCTTCTCACCACCTGCATCGGTCTGGGCCCCTGTTGCCTCAGTTTATTTCTGGGAGGTTACTGGAGGTTCGCTCGACCCCTAGTTATGGCCAGTGTCTGCATACCCTGCGTGATCTGGGGCAGAGCCAGACCTTCATTTAAGAGATGACGCCTTCAGTTTCATGTTCAATCCACCTTTAGCTGCATGCCTATGCTCTGCAGGGTGCACAGTGGGATGCAGACTAACACCTGACTCCTACAGGAAGGGGCCCGCAGTCCAGCAGAGGGCTGTGCTAACACATGCGGGTAATGGTACCCAGAATGCTCTGGAAACCCAGGGGAAGGAGAGTACTAGGCATGCAGCTGGAGAACGTGTTGCCACGTTTGAGCTGGCCTCTTGGGTGGATTCCTCAACATTTCCCCATTTTTCTTAATTGTTCTTCAAATCTGGGGAAAACTTTTAGGAAGTTATATAGGTATTATATTTAGGAGGCAGCCACATCTGACGTCTTAAAAAAATCAATAGTTTTAGTTAGCATGGAAATGCTAAACACAGCAGTCCTTTAGGGATTAGGAATGAATCTAATAGGTTTGATTAATTCTGCTTCATTTGGTTGTATGAAGCATTAGAATGGCTTAGGTGAGAAATGGATTAGAATTCAGTATGATGCATGGATTTTTTTATGCAAATGCAAAAGCAGTTGAAATAGTTTGCTGCTAAGTCAGAAGATATTTTGTGTAATATTCATTCACTTTACTACAGTAATATTCATTGTCTGTTGTACATGTTCTCTTTTCTCACACACACAAAATAGTGAATAATTCTTTCTTACTTAGCTCTCTTCCGAATTCTCCTAATTTCCATTTATACAAGGTGTTATTGTGTGAGTTGCTTATCTGCCATTTCTCCACGTCTCCTCTCTGTGAGGCGTAGTTAAGAGTTCAGGAAGTTTAAAATACAGCCTGATATACCTGCCAAAGTTTGGAGGTTGAGAAATACTTCTTATGCCCTCACTTTCTGTGAGCGTGCTCTCGTGGCACTATCTCGTGCTCTGTCTGCATTTTGGCACATCTCTTCTGTGTCACTTTAGTTTGTATTTTAAGAAATAAGACGAGGCCTGTTGTGTTCCACCCTGAAGCCTCCATTTGACATCCTTCACAAATCACTCTAGGCAGAGTCTGCTGTCTTGGTTGTACATGTAGTTCAAGTGATTGGCTAGAACACTTTGTTAGGTCTAGGTGCCCAAAACAGCGCTAGGGTTTAGAAAACAGAGTACACATATTCCTTTGAAAGCAGTGGCAGTTAAAGCTTCCTGTGCCAGATGAGAATGCAGCATAAAGTTCCCACTGACTGAAATGTAAAGACTCAACAAGTCAGACCAGTAAGGTGGTGAGAGGAGCTCCAGGAACAGCAGGCTCCAGGAAAGGGCAGGTGGAGGAGGGGGTGCAGAGAGGGCCTTCCCCAGCCTGATGGCTTAGGGACAGACATCTGATGAGCCTGTCTGAGGTTCTCAGTGCCTCCCATGATTTACTAGCCAGCTGAAGGCAGGCACGGAAGCCCAAATCCCGTGAGCCGAGCAGTGTAGCCAGCCACTGTGTACTCAGGATCGAAGCAGCGACCCCAGGGTCCTGTCTGCACCTACCCTGTGGTTGAGCTCAGTGAAGCCCCTGGGTGGGCATATGGAGGGTCTCCTTTCTCCGCACAGTTTTATCAGTTCTCTACTCTAGGCTCACATTCCTGTTCATTAAACTGATCAGAGTCAACCACCAGGTCTCCAAAGCTGTGGAAATACGTGGTCACAGGGCCATGTTTCTGAAGCTGGCTGTGTCAGGATTGGGGCCTTCATCTGTAATATCTATGACTTTTGCCTAGGTTCCTGTTTTTTAAACTCCTGAACTGCCATTCAGATTACCCATGATTTTAATGAAATTTTTGGATTTAATAATGGTTGATAATCACTTTAAATATTTGCACAATCTCTTTATAATTAAAAATTCACTAAGCTTCACTTACTACTCTTTTATAGAATTGAGGATGTTCCATTGGATTCTAAATATCAGATGCTCCTGGATCTCAAAATAGCCTTTTCTAAACAAGCACAAGCAAGGGTTTCTTTGTCATAGCACTGTTAATAATTCTCTGAAAATCATACATGATTGAACCAGAATTGTTTCTTAATGCTTGCATTCCAAAAACAACTGATAAGGATATGAAAATGGGTATTTACAACTTAAATTCTAGGCCTATCTGTTATATATTAGATAAAAGAATTTCTCTGTAAACCTGATATTATATTGCTCATTTGTATAAGCATATTTATAGGCACTTTAGAAAATGTTTAGACTGCAATGTGTATTATAGACATCGAACACAGTCATGTTAAATAGTCTTTGGGTTAATACTTGTACGTTGACAGGTACTAAAACTTAATAATTTGAACCTGGTAGTTCACTTGGAGTGAAGGGTTGGGCTGTGTGGATGGAGAAAGTGCTTTGGGGGCTTTTAAGGAAGCCTGGCACCATTCCCACTTCCTGAAAGTTGATGTAAGAGCTGTTAGGGTGGAAGATGCAAAAGAAGTGCTGTATGGAATTCAGCTTTATTACCTAACCAAGACTTACTTTGGAATTTTCCAGTTTCAGATATTCTAACTCTTCTGAGAAATGACAAAGCAATTAAAATGCTTTTGTGGTTATAACGATTTGGTACATTAAAAATGAGGCTTTTACAATCAAACCTAGGTATTTTTTACCTTGTAATTTTTAAGATTTGAAGTAAGAATCTGAGGAAAACCATGAAGAAAAACGGTTGCTTTCCTGGGAAAGGAAGACTTGTACTTCAAGGTAATACAATACAAAATAAAACCAAATAAACCACCCAGACTAAAACAAAACGGTGAAGTCGTTGTCCTCAAGTACCTTTTGGATTTGATCTCAGATTCGATACTGTTGTGGGGCTGGTGCTTTTATTTTTTAACCTCTACTTCCTGGCCTATTTGAAGCAGTTCTTTTGAGACTAATCAGAACAAACTCATTTTATACAAATTTCTCTATTTGGGTATAGGACACAACCTATTTTAGAAAACTGCCAAAAAAAAAAAAAAAAAAAAAAGAAAAGAAAACTGCCAAAATACCCAGATAGGTTTGGCGGTATAAATACTATTAGGCAGGGGGTCGGGGGGAAAGCACAAGTTAAACTAATATTTATATGTCAGCTCTTGATTATTCCATCTTGTTTGCAAAATTGTATTGACATGTTTTGGCCTTTCACATGAGGGAAACAACATTTTAACAGTTTTCTTTCCTATCCCCTCTCCACAGGAGGTGAGGGCCAGAATTGAGGAGGACAGTTGCATTTTAGGTTTGTCTGAATAGTCTGGGATTGTGTCTGTTCCCACAGGGGAGGAGAGGGGAAGGAGGTTGGAGTCCTCACTGTCTCAGTGCCGTGAACTCCAGGGATGTCGGTATTTCTCACATCCAAACATAATTACGAGGGCACGTCTCAAAATTAATTTTGGGATTACCTTTTAAAAATGTTACATCACTGCTCCCTTTCGTTACTCTAGAGACTGGAGAGTTGACTACCGTGAAAGGGCCATGCTTCTGATAGTGCTTTGAGTTCCTTCTTCTGTTAAGATTGAAGCAGTGCTGTCTTCATAGTATGAACAATTCTGAAAGCAGATCATCACTAGAGGCTTTAATATTGAGCTTCTGTATCGTTGTGTCCACATACACTTTTTAAGGTTGTTCATACCTTGCAATATTCACTTACTGTGCTAATTTTTTCACCTATTTCAAAGTTTTAAGCACAATGTTGACCCCTCTGTAATTTCCTAATAGTATATTCTGTTTTCCTAAAGAAGCTCAAGTTTCCTCTATGTATAATACTTTAGGAAAATACTTAACTTGTAAAATAAATGTAATTTTTTTCTTTTGTACCAGCACAAATCTGATATTTTGGAGTCTGGAATATTCTCTCCCCCTCACTTTCTCCTTTGGAGGGGTTCTGTCTGATTCAAATAACATTGTGAACTAAAGAAAACAACCCGCATTTATAAAACATGAAACTTGTATACTGAGTGCTTAGTTTGTGCTAAGAAATAAGCAGTTTACATCATTATCACACTTAGACTTTATAAAAACTGTGAAGTGCAGGTAAGTGTTATTATCCATAATAGGCACTCATGGTCAACTGCTGACAACGACTCCCAGAACACTTTGTAATAGGAACTTTTTTATCAGCCACATGAGGTTTATGCAAATAAAACTTACATTCCCCCATGGTCTTTATTTCACACACAGCTACAGGCTTGCATGTGGTTTATATGTGCCGTGTGAGACACTTCTACCCACAGGTCCCAGGCGGTGCACTTTGTCACCCAGGCTCAGGGTCCAGACCTCAGAGTGGCAAATCCAGAAGCTCAGTTCTTTAATTCACACCTGGAAAAGAGCAGCTTGTGGGCTGGATTTAATTAAGTAACTTCACTAGGGACCGCTAAGTAAATTCATTTATCAGTAATAGTAATAATGCCATTGTTAATAT